GTCCCTGCCCCAGCGACGATGTCCTGCGGCGGGCGCGACTGCGGGCGTTGCAGAGGAGCAGCCGGATGCTGGCTCGCATGAAAGGTGGCTGACAAATATTTGAATATACTGCTTTAATTTGGATATGTTCCTAATTTAAACAGAAGCTGGTAACAAACTGCCTGCGTTGATTCCCGAGTGGGTTTTAGGGGGTTTAAAATAAGTATTCTGCATTTACGGTTTTGGGTGATTCATAGGCTTAGTTCCCCTGGTGGCTCCTGATGGCAATGATGCAGAAAAAATTTCAGATCCCAGGAACCGATGACCTCATTTGAAGTTTAAAAATCCCAACTTTTTTTTTATTTTCTTTTTCTTTTACGTAATACCTGCCGTGGTTAGCAGCACGGCCCCATGAGCCGCTGCATCCCTTTGGCTGCCGGGAGGAGCAGGGGGGCAGGAACAGCCCCGGGGGCTGCAGCAGCCACTGCGATGGGGGGCCCCCCCCAGCCACTGCGATGTGCCCCACGAGGGTCCATGCGATATCGGGGGTTCGGCATTTTCGAGCAGCTTCGTGGGCGGCGGGGGTCGGTGCTCGGAGCGCAGGCAGATGGAGGAGCTGCAGGAGCTGTGCTGTGCGGTGCCAAGGGGACTGCCCAGGGCTCTGAGCCACCCCCGGTCCCAAGGTCCAGGTCCCGGTGACATTCCCTGCTGCCGGGATACAGATGAAATCTCTGGGCAGGTCCTCGCCCTGGCTCACGGGCAGGCTCCATCAGCCACCCAGCACCGCGGAGCAGCAGCACCGGGAGCTGTGACCTGCCGGGAGATGCTTTTGGCTTTGGATGTGACTTTTTTCTTAATCCATATTCGTAAAAGGATTTCCTTTATTGAGCTGTTAGCTGTGCATAACTGACCTTGATTCTATCTGGCTAAAGAGTTTAATTCCCCAAACGATGCCATTAAAGGTCTCTCGTACGTGCAAGGTTGGCTTGGCCAAGTCCTGACCTGCTGTTTTCTCCTCCTCCGTGTGCCTTCAGAGAGAACAGCTTGGTAAGCAGAGCCTCTCCTACGCCCGCATCTCCGCGCTGTGAACCCTTTCCCCTGCGCTTTCTGAAACCAGAGAGCGAAAGCAAGATGTTACAGAGGCAGTGGAAGGTGGGATCCAGCCACGCTGGATTTAAGAGGAAGAAACAGTTGGGAACTGAGCATTGACAGAA